GGAAATTTAAAGCTATTGAATCAATTCACGTCCCGTTTCTTTTGCTGATAAGCCTGTCGGAAACTTTCATTGATAGATGATTTCAGATGCTTTTATTTTCATTTTGATTTACACTGAGATAACATTCGACTTCTGACGGATATCCTCTTATAATAAGCAAACCCAACATTTAGAAATAATTTCTGGCAAAAAGACTTATATTTGATATTTTAGAACTCGAACCCTCGTATATGTGTCTCCCTTTCCCCCGAAACTGCAGGATGTATTTTGATATGCCTCTGAAAAGGTGGAAAGTGTTTTTTTTCTCCCCCCCCCCCCCCCCCAAAAAAAAAAAAAGAAACTTGTGTGTTCTTATCAATGTTAGAATAAAGTTTTTTGAGCATATTTGTTATTTTCAGGATTACAAAAGGAAAAGGAGGAAGAAAAAAAAAGAAAAAAATTAATTACCAAAGAAATATCACTTTATGATGTTCTAGATGTATTCCTTTATCACCACAAAGGACATTTGATTGTAGATATAATCCATCAAAATGATTACCACAGCAAAACAACACTAAATAGCACTTCACGAAAAAAATTTGAATTAATGATAGCTTAAACAACCTGGTACTTATGATAAAGAAAGACAAATTCAACTCAAGGTAACTGTGTATAACACATTCAGTTTTTCAAGTTTAACAGGCAATTAGCACACCTTTATATTATCAACACATTAGTTAAACTCTGATGTGAAATGCAAAGCCTTGCTGACTTCCTTACGGCCAGCTGGTTTTCAGTAAACTAAGAAACTCAAGATGCAGGAAAGTGACAGTAAAAAATAAAAGCTGAGAGATGTCAATCCCCACCCTATAATTTTCCCTTAAACCTGTCCCCATCTCACCTTCCAAAGCTATACAATTTAAGGTGAGAGAAAAATATAAATGTTTAGGGAGAAAAAAGATTCATTTTGGGGGGTACCTGGGTGCTCCCAGCAACCTGTAATCAATGTCAAAGGGAGAAAAGAACATGTGATTTGCTCAGTAACAAGAAGCTGTAAGCTAGTTGACTACAATATTTGTGTTAAGGCCTCCAGCAGAAATAAATAAAG